TTGTATATTCGTCAAGAATAGTCGAAATATACGTATTCTTAGTGTTAGAAGGGACTGGTCCTTTAAAATCTACATTGAGCCTTTCGAATGGTCTTGTAGCTTTAATCAGATGATTTTCTTGACATTTATAGAATCGAGGTTTCAATTCTGCGCATACGGGACATGCAGAAGTGATTTGTTTAATTTCTTCTAAAGAAAAATGTAGATTCTTTGAGTTGATCCAGTGATACATTCTGGTAACTCCTGGATGACACAGAGATTTGTGTAAATTACACAATTCATCATGATTTGTGGCTCCACAAATCCTCGATAACGCGTCAGCTACTTTGTTGAGAGAACCAGGACGATATGAGATATCAAAGCTATAACAAGACATCTCTAGTCTCCATCGCTGAATTTGATCGTTTTTGATTTTACTTGTATGTTGCAAATTGAACATAAACGACAATGCTTCCTGATCAGTAATAAGTTTGAAATGTCGATTGCACAAAAAATGTCTCCACTTTCTAATACTCTCAATAATAGCAGTAGCTTCTTTTTCTATTGCAGGGTACTTCTTTTCACTTTCGGTAAGAGTTCTAGTAAAGAAAGCAACAGGACGTCCGTTTTGTGTGAGAGCTGCAGAGATAGCAACATCTGAAGCATCTGTTTCGACAACTAGAGGAAATTTCGGGTCCACACATACGAGTAAAGAGTTGGCAATATCTCTCTTAAGTTTTGAAAAAGCTGATGTGGCTTCTTTTGATAAAGGAAACGATTTGCTATTCATCAGAGGACGAATCTTTTCAGAGAATCGTGGAATCCATTTCGAGTAATAAGCAAACATACCGACTATTCTCTGTAAAGATCCTTTATCACTAGGCAGAGAAATTTTCAGCAAATGTTTCAAACGATCGGGGTCAGGTTTGATCGAACCTTCACTTATAAGATGTCCTAACAGTTTAATGGAAGTAGTTTACTCTTCTTCTCGTTTAATTTGATATTGTATTTCTTTGCTACTTCAAGAAATTTATTAAGATTTTCATCGTGTTCAGCTTTATTGCGTCCGCCAATCGTAATGTCGTCAATGTAACAATGAACGCCGCAAAGTTTTTCAGTGTCGACTATTTTATCAATAAATTTTTGGAAAGCCGGTACCCCATTAGTGACACCAAAAGAAAGTCTTGTAAATTGATACAGTCTCCCGCAAGCTTTGAATGCCGTAAACGGTCTTTCATCAGCACAAATAGGAACTTGATGGTAGGCCGACTCAAGGTCTATTGTGCTAAAATGACTATATTTGGCTACTTCCGTGATCACCTCTTCCACACATGGTGCTGGGTAAGCATCAAATTCGGTGAATTTGTTTATAGTATTTGAATAATCTATGACCATGCGTTTTTTATGATTAGCATTTTTAGTAACTATGACTTGAGCCCTCCAAGGAGAGGAACTCTCCTCAATTATTCCAGCTTGAAGGAGCTTGGTTACTTCTTCCCTGATGAATTCATTATCTTCTGTTGAATGTCGTCGTGACTTTGTTGCAATAGGTTTCACATTAGGGGAGAGGTTTGAAAAAATTCGAATTGATTCTATATTTACATGAGGAAACACTGTAGCGCTAGATATAAAAAGGGGCGGGTTGGGACCACCAAAATTAACATCAAGTCGCGAATGCGATTTTAAGATATCATGGCCCACAATAATATCAGCACATAAGTTTGGCAAGACTAATAGTTTGGTGTTTATATACATGTGATCTAAAATGTTCAGATCTATCTTAACACATCCTTTTACACAAGATGACAATGAAGTAGATGCCATGGATACTGTAATTGCACCTTCAGGGAAAATTTCAAACCCATTAATAATTGTAAATTTCTCATTGATATAACTGTTGGAGCTACCAGTGTCAATTAGGCCTTGTGCTATTTTTCCATTAATGTTTGCTAATATAGTAGCTTTAGATAGAGTTGATAAGGAACTAGCCCCAACAATACTTGCAATGAATGTTTCTTCCAAAGATAATTTGGGTTCAATTGAATCATTAAGAGCTGCAGAGGTTTTAACAGTTCTATTAGTCTTCTTGGAAAGGCATACTTTTGGATAATGTCCAGTACAGTACAGCTTAGTACAGTTCGTACAGATAAAATCACGAGCTGGACAAACAGAGCGCGGGTGACGAGATCCTCCACAAAAGTAACATTTGTAAGTAGTTCCAGAACGTGTTGAATAACATTGGTTATTAGATATTCCATCAGAATTTGATGTACATGTGTACGTTTCTGAATTTTTAATGGCTCTTTCAATTGATCGAGCCTTTTCTTCTGCTTCATCTAGTTCAAGGGACTTGTTCTCTAAAAGTCTCTGTCGTATATTAGATGAAAATAAACCTGCAATAAAGGCGTCTCGAATGTAATCTTGTTTATTTTGTTCAGCAGACACGGCCTTAAAATGGCACTCCTTGGCTAACGACTTGAGAGCAGTCAAATACTGATCAATTGATTCTGTTGAGAGTTGTTTTCGAGTTGCAAGTTGATGTCTAGCATAAATCAAGTTTTTCGGTTTCACATAAAGGGCTTTAAGAATATCTATAGCGGCTTGGTATGTTTTACAATCGTTAATGTATTCAAATACGTTAGAAGATAAAAAATTTGACAGTACCTGCAACTGATCTTCGTCTTTCACTACATATTCGGATTTTTCAGTGAAGTTTTCGAAGAGTCGAATCCAATGAAGCCATTCTTGTTGAGCCGTAGGACTATCAGGGTTTGAAGAAAACTTGTCTGGTTTAAAGAGCTTTTCCATTTATATATTTTTTATTTGATTAAATTGTAATAAATTTACCATCAAACTTTAGGCTTTAATCAAATAAAAAATGACATTAATTTAATCAAAGCTGTCTATAACTATTTAATATTAGCACAGTACACATGGTCTTAAGAATATAAGAAAGGTCCCTATTGTTATTAAGTTACGTAGACTATCGAGTCAAAATGGACAATGAAGACTTTTCCTAAACATTTCTAAATTGTTTGAAATTGTTATTTGAATAACTTAAAAGTACCTACTGCGTTTTTTTGAGGCCGGAAAAAAATTGTCTCAGATCGACCGGGAAAAAAGTTTTCTTATAGAATGTGGCCTGTAGAATCCATAATTTCAAACAATTCCAAGATTGGGCTACTAGTTCAAAAGTTACAACCCTTTGAATTTTCTTTCGAAATTGGTTTCTAGCCTATAACTTTTGATTGAGAAGTCTGATCGAAAAAGTACGAATTGTTTTGGATTCTACGCACCAAAATTAATAAGAAAAAGTGTTTTTCCGAGAAATTTTGGTGCAGTCGATTTTTGGTAAAAAAGGAAGGTTATACACTGCCTTTTTTTGAGCCCCGAAAAAAAAATTGTCTCAGATCGACCCGGGAAAAAAATTTTCTTATAGAATGGGGCCTGTAGAATCCATAATTTCAAACAGTTCCAAGATTGGGCTACTAGTTCAAAAGTTACAGCCCTTTGAATTTTCTTTCGAATTGGTTTCTAGTCTATAACTTTTGATTGAGAAGTCTGATCGAAAAAGTACGAATTGTTTTGGATTCTACGCAACAAAATTAATAAGAAAAAGTGTTTTCCCGAGAAATTTTGGTGCAGTCGATTTTTGGTAAAAAAGGAAGGTTAAGTATTCAAATACTATGCGAAGTATTCGAATACTTCTCAAAGTATTCAAATACCTTGCGAAGTATTCGAATACTAAATATTTGTGAAAGTATTTGAGTTACAAATACAAATACTGCTTCCATAAAGGTATTTAATTACAAAGTATTTGAATACTTTAAAGGATTTGAATACTAAAAAGTATTTACAAAATCGAATACTGCCCAGCTCTGGTTTTAATTAGCAGGCGCTAAACACCCGCTTTAGAGTGCTATTTTCCGCTATGCGCTGCATTTTCTTTAAGCTTCCCTTTATGTCCGTAAGTAATTGACTTTCAGGAGGTAGACTTACACAAATGATTGAACTAATAAACCAAAGCGAAACTTGTAAACAGTAATTAAACGTATTTTTGTGTAGGTATTTGTTTAAAAGCACAAGTCAATCCTTCAGAACTAATTAATTATATATTATATGAAAGTAACTGAATTCGCCCCCTTTAGTTATCCTTCGCTAAAGCCTTACTAATGACTGGTTGCGTAAGGTCACTGATCACTGCATGCCTAAATTTCTCGATTCTGTACTTTTTTCCGCTGACTCGACGTTTTTAGCTTACACTATCACGAATGTTCGGTCCAGTTTCTGTTTTTTTGTGTGAGACTGTGCCGTTCATCTAAATTAATTTTTAATGTGCTGTACTACAAAAACCTGTCTCTTTCAAAGGAATTTCAACAAAAACTTTTGGGTTCAATTAATGAAACTATTTTGAAAGTAATTTTATTCTATATCCTTCCCTTTAATAGCGAATGTGGCGTGACCCATTATCGTTCTAAAAATGTTAGAGACGCCACCATACTTTTCTCTATATGCAGAAATTGTATAGGTATCAAATTAACGGTTAAAAGCAACCATACTTGAGTTTAGTAAATAATGGCACAAACAAAAAGCAGATCCTTGCAATAGATCCTTTGTGTGTTTGATTGAAAAGCCCGTTGAAAGCTATTGAGGAATAAGATCCCCTTCTTAAGAAGCAAGTAGTCCAAATAAACAACCTTCTTTAGGTCACTTGAGTATAGAATTTCAGGAAATATTGCGAAATTTTTATGCGATAATTTCTTTTAGAATATATATACCGAAACGTAGCGTAAGTAAATTTATGTTGAGTAAACAAATTTAGTAACTGCTGTTGGTTTACACACGAAGCTAATTTGAAATTCACTCACTGTTAAACACCTTCTCAAGGAGTTGGCCTGTTGCATATACTATAGCAAAACAGATGTTAGATATCTGCAGCAACATCAAATGTAACTTCCTTTGAAGGTGTTTACCCATTGCCTTTCTAGCTTTCGAATTAAAAGCATCTTTATACTTTACAGCCTCCAGAATACTACGAACGATGGATAAAACGGTCGACCCTTGCAAGGATTTTTATCAATATGCATGTGGCGGTTGGATTAGATCAAATCCAGTACCTGACTGGACCGCAACTTGGGACAGATTGGCCGAGCTTAGAGAAATGTTGATACAACAAATGCGACAGCTTTTGGAAGTAGGAGACGGATCGTTAAATAAAACAAGCCAGTCCTCTGGAGTTCGCAAAGCTCGAATTATGTACCGCACATGCATGGATGCAGGTAATAACATTTAGGTACCTACTCGTAAAATAATTTGCGCAGATTCACAACCATAAAATTGGGACAATCGGGCTTGTTAATGATTATGCATTATTTCCGGTATATCAGGGCGTTTACAGATATTAATCAACGATTCAGCCCACTGACCTAGTTCACTCATCGTCCACAATAATTACCCAGTTCACGTGCCATTTAATTAATATTCCTTACGAAAGATCAACTAATCGTTCATTGAATTAATGCACTAAACGAGAGTATGAACTTGAAGGAAACTCGTCGAAAGCTTCCACTTGGGTTTGAGAAATGCAAAAATAAAATTTAAAGGTATCATTTGCTTTAACAAAATCACCTGCCTTTCTTAGAGGCTATTCGTAGGTAAAACTACAGTAATAATTATAAAGAAATGTAACACATAAAAGTTCAAATTCAGACAGAGCTATTAAATTATTAAATATAACAGTAAAACGAAATGAAAATTAGTTACATTTTAAATGAAAAGGCAAAGGTCTTGACAGTGCAACAGCAATATCGAAGGTCCATAGAGAGATTTATTGCTGTTTGGCCCTTCCCCACGAAAAACAGACAAATTGTAACCAAATAGATAGTACCTACTCTCCAGGAAATCGATCAGATCTAATTAGCGTTTCACGATTTTCTAACCATCTTATTGAACTAAATTCTCCACAATGATTGATTTACAAACCGTTCTCTTTATATTCGAACAAGCACACCAACGCCAATGTCACAATTCACTTTAATTCAACTCCATTTGGGGTATTTATCAACATGAAGCTGACCAACGATTATTACACCTACCGAGCGCACTCAATCTGAAAAGAATTGCCTTGAATATTTGGTTCAATAGCACTTATCTTAAAGAAAAGCTGTTTCGTAAGTACATCTATTAAGGGGAAGAACAATTCCACTTTACATTGCGAGGCAAGGCAGATTTCTTGAAAAAAGACGAAATTTATCGCGTTCCATTACCTACATTTGTTCTTGTCGTCTCTTTATTTGGCCTAGAATGGGATTTATCATAGACGAGAGGTTAATGGTATTGTTATGAATAAATTTCCTAGTTATTATCTTGTCTATCACAGTTTAAAGTAACAAATTCGATAGTGAATTAAGGGTAGGATTAGTGTAGAAATTTGTTCGGCTACACAGGATATCTAACGACTCTGAGTCGATTATCAATAAGACCGTTTCGGCTCATTCTTTTTCAGCTATTCAACTTTTGGGTTATACAGGCCGTATTTAAATCCGATGCCCTAATTTTTATTCATGTTTGAAATATACGAATAATTGGAGTGAGTTTGGTATTAGAGATCATAAGCCTAAATCGAACGGCTTTTGAATTACTTGAGTTGTTTTTCCAAATAAATAAAGTAAAATAAATAAAATTCCTTAATACGGGTAAAATGAAGCTAACCCATTATTTTTGCTAATTGTTTAAATAAAACATGGATCTTACCTAACATGCAACAATCGTCCAAAAAATTGTATGTGTTCAGAAATCCATACCAAATTTAGCATTGCTCTTTCCATCGTGTTCCTTGGCCCCAAAAACGTGAATCCAGACCCTTGAACTGTACAAATCGGGCATTTTAGACGAAGAATGTGCGAGGGTAGTCCAAAAACAGCCCTTTTGCAATATCTCCCTCCGGTCCATTTTCACACTTTGCGGAAAGCAGGATCAGATTCAGCGGGGTCGAAATAGGGAGAAACTACATGTAACACAATTGTTACACGAAATGCTGCTTGCACAATCAAGGAGAGTATACCTTCTCTCTTCATTATCGCATCCGAATCTTGCCATTATTTTAATACTTTTTCATCTCCCCCTCGCGCGCTCTCTATTTTCACCCTCTGTTGTCGTATTTGTGCACCCAGGTCCTTTTACCAGTTCATTTTCCATCCTTTTTTCTATTCCTCTCCTTCTTCCGACCTCAATTCATCCATTCTCATTTTTTCTTTGTTCCTCCCACATTCCTTTTACGTTCATCCTTATTGTAAAGCATTCTTTTACCCACTCACTTTCTCTTTCACTCCTCTCCCCGAACCTTACCGTACAGCGTCCCGCCGCTATCCTTATCTTCTGCTTGCGTTTATCCCTAATATCCATTTATAGTATCTTTTTTGTATGCCTTCTAGTTCATCCCATTCCTTCTATCCCATTACTCCGTTCCGTACATAAGCAGTAAGCACCCCTCCCACCATTGCACCGAACAGGTATTTTCTTGTTCTGAAGTCATTCTATAAACCCCTCTCTCCTATTCCCCACACCTATCTCATTGCCCCCACCCCCTTTCTTTGTTCTCTTATTTGCGCATTCGCCCCATTATTTCTTTGCATTTGGTACTCTAAATATTTAACTTCTCTGACCTGTTCTATTCTTTTCCTCTCATTTTCCATTCAATCTAACATTTCCTTCCATCCCTCTGCCAAAATTTCATCATCCATTACCATTGCGCAGATTCTATACGCTGTCGTTATTATTGCGACTCCCCTCTCCTTTCCTTATCCTATTTACTAGATTCTTGATCCTTTCCTTGACCATATCAGTGGCGAAAATCCAAGCCTCATTTTCCATTTCGTCCTTTCCCGGCATTTTCCCTCTCTTCAATCTATTTAATTGCTGATCGATCTCCTCTCTTGTTATCTCATCTTTTCCTCCTCCATAGCCACCTGCTTTCCTGGTAGCCCTCATCAGTAGGTCCCTGGCGGCTGTTTTCCACGACTCTCTATCCTCTGCTCTACTCTTTACTCCTTCGTATCCTACCTCTCCCTCTTTCAGGTCGTTAACCAATTTCCTTCTTCCTCTCTCCTTTCTCCATGAACAGTTCCTTCGATTACTACCTTCAGAAAAACTTCCTTCCGAATACATGTCCAATCCAATTCATTTTGTTCCTACATTACTAATCTTATTAGTTCATTTGATGGCCATCATTCTTCTCCATTCCACATGTAAAAAAACTTCCAGCCTCTCCTGGTATCTTTTCATCGCTGTCATCCTTGTAGTACATTGATCAAATGTTTTTTCCATTCCGTTAAATGTGTCTTATTCCCCTTTTCTCCTCTGTTTTTCATCTCCTTTGCCATTAGTTCCCTGATTTGTTCTTCGTTGTCTATCTGTGTCCCCATCTTTTTTTCTTTACATTTTCTGTTGTACTTTTCCTGTTCTCTCACATCCTGCTCTATCTATTTCCCCTCTTCTTTTCTTTTCCATCATTTCTCTGTATCTGTTTCTCTTTTCTGTACACCGTCTGCTACACCACTCCTTTCTTTTTTCTCTCTTTGCTCTATGAATTATTTGTTTCCACGTTATTGCTTTTTTTAACATTCTCCTTCATACTATACCGCTCTTCTTCTGTACCCCCTCCTATATTTCATCTCCTTGTTTCTCTAGTCACCGTCAATATAGATTCACAGTGTCTCGCATCTTGTCCTTTTTTTGCATCTTTCCCTTTCTTGACCTTCGTATTTAAGCTAAGTGTCATCGGTTAGTGGTCCAATTCTATCCTTGTTCCTATCTTAAACTCTATTTTTTCCAGTATTTTTTGATTTACTAAAGTATAGTCAATTACCGATCTCCCCCCCCCCTCCATATTTCCATTAGAATTCTCCATCCGAGCTATCCTAATAATCCCAATAACATGTTGCCCGCTTTATCTCTTGATTTTCTTTCCTGTGTTCTTATTCTTTTCTTTACCCCTTGTCCATTATTACCTGTTCTTTTTTCCCGTATTCCTTCCTCCTCTTTGATTTCCATCTTCCAAATGTATTCCCTCGGTATTCTATCCCTTATTTTCTCCCAATTCTTTTCTACCAAACCCGCATCGAAATGAGCATCTTTACTTGCTAACTCCGCTACGTTCCAGAACATCAATTTCATCACTCCCCTCGTCCGTTTTCTTTCAGTTTGTTATTACTGTCCTCTTCCCTTCTTTACTCTATCTGCACTCTTCGTCTTCTATCATTAGTTTGCCATATCGACGTCTTGCTTTTTTGCTTTCTTTTTTCTCTGTGAACCACCTCCCTAATTTCTCTCTCTATCCTTTATACGGTGTCATCTATGTATATCCCACATTCTTTTAACTTTCCGTTACCCCTAATTCCCTCTTTTTTGTTCATGTTAGTTCCGCTACTATTACATTATTTCCCCTACTTCTATTGCTCTCGCCTCTTTTACGTTTGACTCTACTTGTAGGTTTTCTTTTAACCATCTCTCCTTGCTTTCTCCCTTTTTTCCTTTTTCCATCTTTACTTCTTGTAATAACAATAATAATAATGATTTATTGTTCAACAGATGACAATCATCCAATTACAGAACAAATACACAATTAAATCTGGCATGAGTGAAAAATAAACAATAAACTATAAATTCATTATCCTGCTCTTTCCTTCTCTTCATTCTCTCCCTTAGCCCTCCAACTTCTTCCCTCATCGTCTCTTTCAATATATATTTGTTCTTTTTGTTTCCTTATTTGTTTTTTTTGTTTCCCGCCCATCTTACTTCCTCCTTCTCTTCTTCCATCAGCTTATCAATAAATTAATTGTTTGCTTGCTGTCACTTTCTCCGTCTCTGGTTTCCTTTGTTCTGGAGATCTTATGACTCTCTTGACCTCCTATAAAGTAACTCGGCGCGCAATGTTAAATATTAACTTGAAGCTTGTAATAACTAGAATTAATACCAAAACGATTCGACGATATTCATTGCATTGCCTCGTCTCTTTCCAAATTATTCCATATTTGTAAAAAATAGATTTGCGAAACGTGAAAACACAGTACACACACAATTAATGCTGTAAAACTCCTCAGTGGAAAACGGAAGCTTTTAAAGACTGCACCACATATCGCAAGTCATCAAAATGTCGCTCGATTTCTGTTTCGAGTTACAGAAATAAAATGAGAACGATGCAGTTTCTCTGGGAGGTTGTTATTTTCTCCATTTTAAAATTGCATTTCTCGTTACGAGGGAAAAACACGTACTCGGAACACCGTAACACAAACCTTCAACGATGTTGTGAAAGACCAGACCAGACCAAAGACCAAAACTGAGGGAATTTGACTAATTTTAACATGACGTTAATCGAATACAAAATTTGATAGGCTTAGTGGCCAACGCAGATTTAAAAGCAACTCGATATCTTTTCTCACTTGTAACATTCCGGTCTCTTCCATCAAGTACATGAAATAACATTGTTATTTAACCGGACCTTCTCCAATTCAGAATGTATCTTGATACGGTAACTCTTAGACTAGTAATTTAATAACTTCACTGCACAGGCGTTCAAAATAGGCCGATTCATATCGTTAATCAATCTAAATGAGTTGAAACATCGAATAAACTTTTAACAACTGGCCAACCTCAAGCAAATCAAAAGAAAATAAATGTTGTAAAAATTACAAATAACCAAATTCAAGGGTCATCTACCTACCTTCATATGCAAATAGTTCAAGGCAATACAATTGACTAAGTACATTACCTTTTGTTACGCACAGCACAAAATTTACACAAAACTTTAAAAATTAATGCTAAGTACAAGTGTACTCGCTGAAGGAAAATGCAAAAGGCGCTACATTTTGCTGTATGAACCGCGTGAAACCGGATAATGTCAAACAGTTTGATAGCAAGTGTAGATTGTGGTTTATGCGCCATATTTTATGGTTATTATATCGGTTTTCATTCATCATAGCTTCCTCGTCGGCATTTCTGGATAGTGGTTCTACACGGCAATGTAAAGGCTGAAAGTTGCTGGAAGTTGTAATTATTCGCCGGTTAAAAGAAGCTTATATTTTCTGGAAATTAACGGAAAACTACGATATATTCGCAATATTGTTTTTAAACTTTTTGGGGGTGTTTATCTGTATGTAATTGTCTTGTGACCCTGCGCGTGCTTAAAACCGTGGAAAAAGGGTTTAGGTGTAGAGAGAGTCGACGCGCTATCTTGCTTGAACACAACTTGAACGATATCCGCAAAAGAAAATTGCCTGCAACATTACAAGCCCTTGTAGCAACTGAGTTGGAAGCGAGTAAATAACTTTCGGATTATGCATGATTTGTGTGAGCATTGCGCAAGAACCCTAATCACATATAGTTCAGTACATAACATAGAGTGAGGTCTGCCGTTTGTGGCTGTTTAGGGTTTAGGCAATGGAAATATCTCCTCTGAGGTGGCAAAGTCGACAAATTCAGCAGTAGGGGTTTTCTTAATTAAATCTTACACAAATATTCAAGAACGTTCGTGCCGTGTATATTTATTTTTAACGGATGTCTTCGACAAATTGGGAGAATTCCATTAAAACTAACTGAAAATGGGATAGAAGCGGCTGGGTTAAACCAGAAAGGGGTTAGAATGGAGTAATTCAACAATCGAATCACGTGGCCTATGGAAATATTCTACATCCGACCAGACGACACCATCAACATCAATCACCTTTGCAGATCCCGTAATTTGTCAAGGGATCTGTGTCATAAATGCGCATTTTGCAAATATATTACTGTTAGTTTTAAAAATGTAGCTTTAAAGTCCTGAGTCTAATACAAATTGTTTTTAACCTCGAGCAGTAAAGCTTCTGAACCTACACGAAAATTCCATCCTCAATAAGCATCGATATTCTAACTTTAAGATTTAAAACAGCTTGGAAAGTTTCCGAAATCTCATGTAAATCCTTCGTTCCGGAGCCTTGGAAACTATTACTCATTTACATGTATACATTGTTGTGCAATTTTATATATACTGTGCTTCACTCTGCCGCAGATAAAGTTCAGCAAAGCTTGGAGCCTCTCGAAAAAATTCTCAGAGCTATGGGATTACCCGAACATCCGTCTCTTTTCAAACATACCGACTTCGATTGGCTTTTCACTATCGCTAAAGCTCGCCGACTGCTGGGCGTAAGCTTACTGTATGGATTTAATGTCGCGGACGACGTGAGAAACTCATCCAAGAATAAAATTGTGGTTAGTACAACATTTTTCAAACAACATCAATTACGTTCCTAAAATATTTCTCTTATTTTAGATTGAACAGACGGCACCCGGATTTGGAGAACGTTATTTACTACGTCCTGAAAAATTTTCAAACGAAATAGAACATTACAAACTCCATATTCAGGCAATGCTTAAGGAATACACAACAACTTTCGACGATAGTTTTGCGGATAATGTTATATCATTTTCAAAAGAAGTTGCAAAGGTATTTTTAACGTTTATCCTGCCGTATTTTACACATTCGTGTATCGACTGACTAAATAAAAGGGCCTAGAGAATAGGCCTTGAGGGGCACACTTTAAAACTTGCATTTACAACGCTAAGCATACAAGCCAAATTGTTAACAATACCATTGAATAAGCACCTACAATTTGGCCGAAAGCTTAAAAGGCGCCAGAGAACGATCTTATTCGGGGGTTTTCGCCGTTTTTTTTCTTTCTTCCAAATCGCGGAAGAACGTCTACGTATACGCGTAATTAACATTCTTTTTAAACAAAATTCTATTAACTTCAAGGGATGATAAAAACATCTCCCCGGGGTAGATTGGCGAGTGTTTACATATAAAGGTTCAGTTTAATATCTTTATAAATAAAAAAGTTAGCATTGCACATGCGTTAAACCAAATGTTTAACACTGCGCATGCGCAAAACGAAAAATGTCTGTATGCATGGAATCCTTGGACCAAGCCCTTTCAAATGAGCCCCATATCGCCCAAATCGGTTCAGTCATACGTATGTCACGGACAGACGGATAGACGGCAAAGTGCAGCCAATAGTGATTTTTCACTTTAAGGAAAATACGCTAAAAAAGTCCTTCAGGTCGTGAAAGTGAGAGTCGTATCGTTTTGAGGAATAAATGTACCCCCAAGAGTAAGCAATTGAGAAGATTGGTAGCACAGGGTTTCAGCCAGCGACCGGGCGTGCACTTCGCGTCGGTGGCCAGAATCGGAACTATTAGAACTGCATCGCCGCTCAACTCGATTTTAGGGTAAAACAACTAGACATCACGCGTGCCTATCTCAACGAAAGTTTGAAGAAAAAACATCTTTCACGAATCCTAGGAGTAGTTGAAACCGAAGATCGAAATGAGATCGGAAAGCAACCGCGCAAAATGCGTGAAGATTTCGAAGAGAGAGATAAAGTTTGTCGGTTAAACAAGTCACTGTACGCACTGAAACACGCAGGATAAAGTTGGTACTTTAAGCTTGATGATGCTTTAAGATCGTTTGGTGCTACTTCCACCAAGGGTGATCCTTTATCGCATTGGATCAGGATCCGCATCGACCTTAATTGCTATTTATGTTGGTGATCGTATTATTGCATCTAGGAATCGAGTGGGAATTTTTAAGACAAACAATGCGTCCTTTTTGTGGTTTTCGAAGAGGTTCGAAATGCTTCGAACGCACAGGATATGCTGATGCGTCCTTCTCCCTCATGGGATAAAGGTACAGATAAATTACAATGTCGTTACAGAGGCCGTTTTGAAAATATAAGATGAGGCGTGTTTCAGATGCGTAACTAAGTTCGGGAACGCTAGAGAAACTCAAATCTCGACTACGATATTCTGCCCATAAAGATGTAATTCATTTTTTTAGGTGGTCGAATGTTTGTCGTAAAGGAGAGGAACAAGATTCGATGTGGGATGAGGGAGGTTGATATTTTGGGAGTGCGGTAGAGTGTCACATCGATCCCGCATGTGGGAACAGTAAAAGAGTGTGCATAGAATTAACGATTCGCCCTGGTTTTTTGAACCACGTTTTTCAAAATACCTACCCCAGAATAGCGACCCCGAGATGAAGGTGCAAAAACACTCCGCTTTGATATCTCCAGGTTTCTAACGTGACACTAAGGAATCTCGGTATTTGAAGTAGACAATGAGAACAAATTTACAAAATCGGAAAAGACATACCCAAGAGCCGTTTATTCCATACTCCTGTATCTTATTGTTGCTAAGAAAGAAAGTTAAAGGGCGAACGCGAATTCTGGAACCGTTGGGGTCGTGAACCCACAGTTTCTTTGAAAGAATATTTGTTTTTGTCCCCTCTACTACCCAATTTTTTTGACATTCCTACTTGGGATACCCTGTAGATGAAGGGTTGAAATACTCAAGGTGTTCAAATGTGGGGTGCGCTTTAGAATCGAGTCGAAGATCGTTCGCGAGGTGTAAAAGATCTTCTACTCGTACTGTATGTGCTGATTTTTTAGCGCATTTTTTAGAATTAAAAAAAATATACTATTGTTTGTGTTTTGTCCGTCCGGACCCACTTCTGCGGTTTTGAACTCCTTTTAAGGGAATGTTCTTAGAGACCTGGAATTGTTTCCAATACGTAGCTTAGATCTAGTTATGCCAGACCGTCAGAAAATTCCGTGGAGGGGCTGGGGGTCTCATGAATTAATTATTTCTCAAAATGCTGTTTTTGAAAGAACTTTTTAGACTTATTGGACGAGGAGGTAGTCTGACTAGTTACTGTCCATTTGTTTTTACCGAACCTATAACACTAGGGACACCGATGCGTCCCCAGAGTTGGGTGTCCGTCTGGTGTCTCTGCCCCGCGACCAGACCGAACACGGCTGGTGGCCAAGGATTGTCGCTGAGTATCAACAAGTTCTGGTCACGGCAGCAGAGCGCAGCCAGAGATTTTTTATTCCACCCGTGGTGTTCGCTCTAGTCGCGGAGCAGACACACCGGTCGGACACCAAACTTTGGCGACGCCACCGGTGTCCCTAGTGATGTAACAGGCTCCGTAAGAACAAATGGGCAGGCACACCAGCGACAACCACCGGTGGCGTCACCAGGTGCCCTCGTCCAATAAAGCACTTAGTGGTACCAAGCAAAATTTTTGAAAATGTGTGGGGGGCGGGGGGGTTAACACACGCTCTATCCATCATGGTATTCTAATGAAAGATCTCATCAAAATGAATTGGTTTGTACAAAGTATAACTTTCCTGCACAACTACTTTTCGAGATCGGTAGATGGCCGGGGGTGGGGGTAGAAATTAATTTTATTTCTCATGGTATTCAACAAACGGTACTTTTCTACCAACTACCGCTCTTCTTTCTGACTCCTTATCAAAAGAGGGGGTTTGGGGAGAACTAGTGTTATCTTTCATGGTACTCTAATGGTCTAAAGGTCTCAACAAGAGGAATTAATTTCCATCAACCATACTCCTTCTCCTCGACCTCCTAGCGTAATCGGATATAAATGATTCCTTATCAGATTGTCGGAAGAGGGTAGGTCTGGAAGAAATTATCTCTTGATGACGTCGAAACTTTAAGAACGAATATCTCGAAAAGAGTTTGTCGGACGAAAGTAGGTTACTCTCAAAGGGCAAACTGAAGAAATGCAATATTTCGGTGCATTTCTGGGTTTGATTCTTCTTGCATTACATAGCATCTACCAAGAAAGAAAATATCGATAAATATAGCGGGCTACTACCTTATAACGCAACCATTTACTAAACTATTTCGGTTTTTAAAAAATGCGCTTTATCTGCACAAGAGCTGTGCACAATTTATACTTGTTAAAAAGGGAGACGTGAATAGCTGAATCCTTGTAAGAAGAAAGTGAAAGGGCGTATGTGTTCGCTTTCTACGAAATCGTAGAAAAACCTGAATGTTTTGGGTACTTTACGGGTAGAATCACATCTAGTATACATGGCGATACTGTTTATAGGCACACTTTCATGCTCATATTATGGGCCTAAATGCCAAAATGACGCTTAAAAACGTCAAAAAAGCAAAGTTTTTCGTTCTTTCTTTTTCTTTCTGGCCTGTTGTGGGCGTCCAATATTTATTTCTATGGTAAAGTTAACATTTAAGTATGTGGGGACCTTCTGCAGGGCCATATGCCTAGGGCCTAATTACCAATATGGCGCCTGGAAAATCCAAAAACCGTGAAAAAGTCGTTCTTTTTGCCATATTTTTAGTACACTGACCACTCATTCCCTATTTCTGTGGCCCGGAGCAGCGAAAAGACAATAAAACTATATTTAGTTTAAACAATTTTCTAATTTCTTTATATGAAAACATTCTTCCTATGTTTTCTTTGATTTTTTAATTAAAACGTAACTCTGCAAACTATCAAACCTTACGAACTTAACGAACGTTACAGTTAAACTTTTTAAAACATTGTGACTACCTCTCTATGACTTTCAAGGCCATGTAAACTAAAGTTACTTTCGCTGCCATTGTTGTAGCAATTTCCCCTATAACCGCTGCTCTGAGTGCATGGAAGGGGTTCTCCATCTTCGTCAATTGTTCGCAGAGTCTTGTTTTGCAGCCCCAAGACACGAAGAGGAAGCACGCACACGAGATGGATTCAAGTGGCATCAACACTGACTTCATTGCATTATCCTGGATTCACCATCCACACTCCGTTACAGAAGGAAGGCGGCGTCAAAGCGTCGTTTCCTCCAAGCAGCAGGGTTAAAAAAAGGAAATCGCTTTCCGATACCATGGTAATTGCATCGCTCTGGCATTAATGCCATTTGTACCGCCTCTTACAGATTTTAAGTAACTTCTTAACTTCAGTGCAACGTGAACAAGCTGGGAAAAAAGGGAGTATGGTGGCTGATAAGTTACAAACGCAGCATCATTTCCATAAAGATTTTCATTTTGCATAATATTACTGTTCAATATTCTAAACAACTGCCAAGAGTTACGCTTTGATTAAAAAAATCAACGAAAATTTGGTAAGCATGTTTTTCATATATTTTTACTTAACCAATGACCTGAAATTACGCCACCAAACCAACTTCTGCCTCTTGGTTCCATAGCTAACGTTTATAGGAAACGGGTCCCAACGTCCGCATTTAAGCCCTTCAGGTGTGTAACATCCGAATGGTTAGTCGCAATTCGCATATTATTGCTCTGGACCACCGAAATGGGAAATGAGTGACCAGTGTAGTAAAAATGAGGAAAAAGAACGACTTTTTCACTTATGTAATTAAGATTTTACGAAATTTTTTGAAAAAGATATTCTTTCACAAATAGGCAGATTCATTATTTTCAATGTTTGAACAATAAAAATAAGGTACGTGATAAGAAAAAATAATTCAAAAATTGATACAGATTGCTGCTTAATGTTCTAGTTTTTAGTGGTTTTTTGAATGGAGTTCAATTACTGGTTGGATTACACCCACTCACTTTAATTGTTTATTATTTACAAACGGTTGAAAATAGGCATTTGTTGTCGTGGACCTTCTTGTGTAAAATTTTGTCCTCTACAATTTATCTTCTATAAAGTTTTCCGCCGTTTTCAATGAAATGTGCGCGATCCTGATTTCACTAAGAAAACACCATAAAACTCCAGTACCGGAAATGTGATGGGCCAAGACCAAACTTGTTTCTTTCTTATATTGTCTCGATCAGAATATTGCTTCCCAATTTAACCAATTTTATTTTCATACATTTTGCACGGTGAAACCCAAAATATCCCGAAGGGGCGTGCTAGTCTGAAACGCAAATATGGAGTTGAACAATCCCGGTGAATTTTGCAAGTTTTTTTAAACAACTATTTCATAACGGAACAAGCGTGTCTGTGGTCATTAACATGAATCTATATAGCATTTTAATTGCATTTTACAAGCGCAGGTTTGGAATTCAGTTGTAAAATCGAAAAGCTTCTTGCTCCGCTTCAGGGTGCTTATCCGCGTACCAATTATACACTGTAAAATTATTAGCTGTTTCATGTGAAACATCGTTGGATAAAAGCGCCTTGAATAAATAATCACTGTTGGAAAAAGTTTTACACTATTGACATTATCCCAATTTTCCAGCACAGTTTCTGTTCAATTTAATGAGTAATATCAGATAAAAATCCCTATTTCGTACAACAATAATTATTGCAATTAATTATACATCCATGATATCAAAACACGAAATACACTGTTAATTAATATTGTACAATATTGCTATCGAAGCAATTTATTTGTAACGTGGGATAAAAATGAGTCAATTTAATATCAGAAGTTATTGAGTCTATTCAATTCGTGACTGCTCCCTTATTAAAGGTATAATTAATCGTACTACGATAACTCCCATACGCTCTGTTAACAGAGGAATTAGAATACAAAACTAGAGCGTAATATGCAAAACACGTACTCTGTAAATCACCAGTCAACATATAAATATAAGGGTGGGTGGTTGAATGGATAGTAAATCAGGATTTTGTGCAGGTTATGACCCCGACAGAGATTCGCCGAAGTCCCGGCTACCTTTTTCATGAGGTCACACTCGTTGAACTCGCTAACGGACCAGGCTTTGATAACCATACGTGGAGGACAGTAAGGGCTTCTTATAAGACCGGTATTTTCAATTTAAAGAAAGAACCGATATCTTACCTACGTTTAAACTGAAATTGAACATAATTTTACTTTGCAGATGAACTGGACCAGATACTTAGACGTAGTGTTCCAAGACACAAACGTCGTTTTATTACCACATAATGATACCGTAATACTTTTTGATTTACCGTATATGGAAAAAGTAGCAAGGCTTATTAAAAATACGAGCCCAAACATTTTACGTGAGTATGAAATTAAGTTAAGAGCAACGTCACTCTGTAAAACGTTTCAGTAAACTTTCTCTGGTGGAGCGTATTTTCGAGACTTGCGCCTACGATATCTGAAAAATACAGCGCACTCAATTTTCAATTTACCCAGAAAATTCTGGGCGTCCAGATGAGAGCACCCAAATGGAAAACGTGCGTCACCAGCGTCAACGCACATTTTGGGCTTGCGTTGAGTTATTTGTACGTACGCTCACAACCTGATAGATCCTACATTCAAAAGGTAAGTACAATAATTTGCTTTTATTTGAGTGTGATATCCACGACCTATACAACCGGCCTTTGGATGGCGCTTATAGTGCCCACCTGTATGCCCTGCTCTATGACTTCCTATTTTTGTTTCTCCCCATAACCAACTTGGCATTTATTCGTTGTGCCCCTTTTGGTCGGACGGTAGGCAAATTTTATTACACCCTCTTTGGTTCTAGAATGCTTAATGTTAAGTACATTTAGCACCTCTATGGAATTAAACGCCGAAACTGAATCGTGATTATTGGTACGGTGGTGTTGGAATAAAAAACGGCCGCTTGGAATGAAAGTTATAAACAACGCACGTTCTGCTTCAAGTGCAAAGTGCACTAACTGCCTAACCATTACACCATCACCAGGTCGTGGAAAATCATGGAAACCTTCTGGAATTCTTAGTTCAGTAATTTTTGACAATTTTTGTGAAACCTTCTTTGATTATATTCCGAGCATATAATATACTCAAAACCTTATCTAAAGCGGACCTTCGACAAACACCTGTTTACAAAAATTAATTCATTTCTTAGAGATAACGCAACTCTTATCTAGGACCGGAGAAAAACATGAGATAAACTTTTCAAATGTGACACAAATAAAATTTCGTAAATTCTTAACAATTCTTTACACAACATTATTCTCCTCCTAAATTGAACACAACATCCAAAAAAATGTAATACATCCCCTTAAAATAAACACAAATCCGTTGAGATTTTTGGTCTATTTAACACGAACTTAAACGAACACACCCATAACTGACGACAACACAATTTCCCAACAACCTATCGGTGGATCTTGGACGTCCGCAGCAGTCAGGTGGGTTCTACGAATATTTTCATTCCGTTTTTTCTAACGTTCTTCCATTTTTGCATTCCTTCCCTCCATCTAACTTAACCCATAGCTTCTCTGGGGAACTTTCAAACATTTCACCATAATCCGGTGATTTCTCAGTTACTCTTTCCTCAATACGTTCAGTTCATGCCCGTTATTTTAATAATAAATCATTTTCCAATTTTCAGACTCTTGGCTCTGCCTTATCCTTTCCAACGTAAAAACGTAAACAAACCTTTCTTTTTTTAGCTTCGTTACGCAGTTGAGTTCTGGTTTTGGGAATACCGAAATAAAGCAATTGGGTACTTTAATCTTCTGCTCCTTCTGAACTTGAACTTCTTCTTTCTCTTGCATTTCAACTTGCTTATAAACTGCAATCGTTTTCTCCTGTTCCATTTCTTCATGACACCGTTGTACTTCAACTTCCTTAACTTCTAACTGAACTGTTTGACACCGTCTGGATGAGCTTCGTATGTCTTCTTTGATTTCCGATAATTTTTTTTTTGACAATGACAAAAATTTATTCGGAAACACATATTAAAACAAAATCCATGTAAGAAAGAAAGGCGCACAAAGCTTATTTGGACATATTACCTCGCACGCAGACGGGCGTCACTTAAAATTACTTACAGTTTTCTTAATCGCAGCACAGATTAGTGGCATGCAATCAGACTCGGAAACGGTACACCTGGATAACTCCAGGTGATAGCCGAAGCCGAGTATATTCTAGTCAAGCAAAGATTTAGAAACCAAATAAAAGACTGTAGAGCTTTTACAGGGCCCGATGTCAACAGTGACCCTAATTTAGTGACTGAAAATGAAAACTGGTCACAAATGGGATTTAGAGATGTTAAGATCTAAGGAAGTGAGAGTGACCTGTAGCAAATAGTCAAATATATCTGTGATCACAAGAATAGAGGAAAGATGACTGAACTTGAAAACTAGTAAACTGGATAACAGAGGAAAGGAAGGAAGTTGAAACAAAACCATACAGAGGAAGGTGAAGGAAAGTACAGCGTAATAAGGAATTAAATAAACAGGCAAAGAAAAAGTATTTGGAAGACCGTTTTAAGGAAGTGGATATGTCAATTAAGGAGAGAAAATTCGAGAAGGCAAGTAGGACAAAATGCAATGCCTGGAAAGAAAATGGGAAGTGGGCGATACATTTTGAGGAACGAATTTGATCAAGGAACTAATCAAAGCGGCAGGGGATAAAGTGCATGATGAACTGCTCCACAGGAGAACTACCGTCGGATTGTAGGAAATGCATCACGATACCTAGAAGATATTTTGACTGATGATCAGTTAGGGTTTAGGAAGGGGAGAGGTACGAGAGAAGCTATGTTGGTCTTTCATAGGCTTTATAGATCTTGAAAAGGCATTTGAGAAGGTAGGATGTAGGATATTGGTATAAAGTTAAAAGATCAAAGGGTAATTGAAAGACTGTAGGAAATATCAAGTTGAGCTCGAGACCAAACAAGGAGTTACGCATGGATGCTCACTCTGGCCCCCTTTGTTCAATGGTTACGATCAAAGGATGCAGGGAGAATGAAAGACAGAGAACGTGTGAAGATCCAAGATAAAGAATTCTGCACTTTGCACATGATGTTTGTTGTAGATGGCTTAGATAATGGTCACTATAAATGTCTGACTATTAGCATATAATCTATGGATCCTTCACTTCCCTAGTGTACTGATGAATGTTTGTGGAATCTGTTGGTTATAACCAGAGACTTGCTATAACTAGACTGCGCTTAACGTATCTAAGGTGTTGTCGACACAGTATGCAACACACAATGCACCGCGGGGCAAAAATCTCTGAGATGATATGCAATACATTATATTGCAATAAGCTGTTATTTTAGATGTTCCGTTCATTAATCATTCTCGTGATTAGCTCGAATTAGTGAACAGATAAATTTCTGTTGAGAATAAACCAATAAACTTAGGTTAACTTGTGCGTATCAACATGTACTCTGTCGATACATTTTTAAATAATATGCTGATTTTCAACGGATAAAAGTTTAAAGGGCCAATGGATCAGATCCATTCGAAGAGAAAAATTTACTCCCACCATAGTGCATTTGCGGGGAATGAAGCCGATTTTAGAAAGGTACCTACGAAGGTGTTAAACAATAATGCAATACCGAGCGTTTTCGACTTTCCCATTCACTTAAAATAACGTAGAACTATTCGACATCCTTTACCAGCAAGACAACGGCAATTTGCCTATTAGGTATAGACGTAAATAAGTACTTAGGTACTGGTACTGAGTATATTTCAGGTTTTCTACAAAAAAAAATAGCTAAGTCTGTTAAATGTTCCATATGTGCAGATGCGATATTCGCATCAGAGAGTCATTCAAAGCTTTTAACTAGAAAAAATCGTGGAGGATTGTTGTACGTATCAAGCGATGTATTAAAAATTTTCCAAATTGCTGAAAATGTGTTCAGGTTTTTCATTCAATCCACACCACACCGCGTTGTAAACAAAATGGTTATCAGCAGTCTAAGAAAAATAAATAACAGTTACAGCCCATTTGGGTTTTTGAATAGGCATATATTGAATCAAAATCCGCTACATAATCATATCTTACTACCTACATCTTTAGTTTTAAGAGTATATTTTTCCATACGTGTTCACCACCAAAATACACATATAAATCAAATTAGGACTAGAGTAAGGCAGTTATATACCAATTTAGTTCAAATAAAATACCAATAAATTCGATTAAAACAGTTAACAGCTATATGTTATCTTTTTTTGCTACTAAAATTTAGAATAAACATGGCTAAAGCAAGCTGNCCGCGATGAACCGTTGGTTGCCTATCCTATCTTGACAACAGGCGTTTATAGTAAAATCTACGTTACGCGCCGTCTAGTTATAACAAGTCTCTGGTTATAACTAAAACCGATGGCATCTGAAATCCACGCGACTCTTCGTGACACCCCACTATTTAAATCTCCCAGTATTATAAGTCTCACTTTCACGTTTTCGATTGCTCCTGACCATTCTTCCCAACATTTGACTGTAGATAGGTACATGTCCGTTTTTCAGCCCCATTTCCCCTCTGCCTTTCTTCTTGGTTTCGCATATTCCAAGTAGATTTAGTGTGTTGTTCTTAAATTCTGGTACACGTTCATTTTCCTTTCCGTTAATGTATGTTCCAAATTTTTTTTTAGTTTGTAGCTATTGCATTTCTATTTCTTTGTGTTATTCTTTTCATTTCGGCGTTTGGTAGCAAGTGTCATCTTCATTATCCCACAAGAACGTTTTCCGCTCAGTTCTTTTCTATATTTCCCATGCTTACTGTCCTTTTTGAAGTGTCTTCTAGAGGTGGTCGCTGCACCAGCTCGAAAATTCTTGACCATTTTAAATATTTACGTTTTGACGTTATGGTTTTGCACCTTTATAAATAAATAATGGTCTTATTTCAATTCAAAATCAAATTTTCTATTAGGATATGTTAATGAAGGATCTGTAATAAAAAAATTCGTTAAGCCGCTTGTGAGCAAGAGGCGAAGAGTTCACTTTCAAATTTGTTTTTTAGATTTTAATAGCCCATATGTACATTTCATGCCCGACATGAAATAATTTTTAATTTCTGATTGAATGACACCAATACCAAGTCTGTAAGTGGTGTAGTTCCGGAGCCTTTGTGACAGGCAGACAGACAAATTAAAGCTTTTAAAAGTGCACTTTTTAGTTTTAGTGCGCTAAAAAGGATAATAGACACGTGAGCTTTATCGAAAAGTAACTGAAATTTCCTAGTGCTATTACTTAGACGATGCGATTTAGCATCAAAAACACCTATACTGACCCAATTTGAAATTGGGACGACGTACACCAAAGGTAAACGACAAATAATGCTCGTTTCTCAAATGGCTTCGACACTGTTGCGTTCTTTTTGGTCGGTTTGTTTAATTGAACTAGAATTCACGAAAATCAAACGATGTGGAGAATGTTAGTCAACTGTGGAATTTTTTTTTATATATACAGACCTGCAAACCAGAGGCAACTTTCCCGCTTTTAAACTTCGCCTATTTTTAAATGTTGATTTTCGACGGAAATTTTGTGAACATCGAGAGTTGTAACAATAAATTTTACATTAAACTCGACGTTTTTCAAGTACCGAGTATCGACATAATTGTAACATGAACTCACGGCTCGAAATTTCATAACTTCTTTACGTTGACCTCTAGAGAAGCAAAGAAAAGTTCTTTATCACCGACATAAATGCTATCGTTCGTTAGGAATCAACCAATCTGAGAATCCATCCCGGGAGACCTTTTTTCATACCCAAAATCATTATACGAGAACTTTGAAACGTGATATGAATTTACGTGTGATATGAGCATACAAACAGTTTAAATATTGAGTTACATAAAACGTGGCTGCCTATAACTATAAATTGCATCCGTACATTTCAGGTACTCCAAATGCTGCGAAATATTAAACACGCATTTGAGGGATCTTTAGATCAATCAAACTGGATGGACGTGGAAACCCGTAAAAAAATGTTATTAAAACTTCAGGCAATTAGGTCATTTGTCGGATACCCAGGGTGGATTATAAATTCCACACAACTAGATCATTACTACAGCAAGGTATACGTATCGGATAAAAACGTTATCGTTAAAACGTACTTTTCAGGTTCACGTTATCGACGGAAATCTCTTTGAAACGAATTTGAATCTCATGGATGCATCCGTCAGAAGAAACTTGGAAAATATACGCAAAGGTTCAAACCGCAACAGGTAACCCTCGATTATTTGAAACCCGCATTTTAAGCGATGCTTTCAGATGGGTTGCAACAGCCACGACCGTAAACGCATTTTATTCGGCTACTTTAAATTCAGTTAGTAGGTCAAGTATTTTTTTAACACATTACAACGTTCTTAACATAATCATTTTGCAGCATTTCCAGCAGGCATTTTAAAACCCCCCTTTTACGGAAACGGAATTGCGTAAGTAATTAATAGCTCTTTTGACTTTTTATTTCGTAACATACATCGAGTCCCATAGGTTTTGTCTTCTAAAGAGATATCGAGTTTAATGTACCGTTGGTTAAGTCAAAGAGATTCACGATTTACTAAGGTGCGAGAATGAGATAATTATTACTAAACAAATTTGATCATTATTCCCCATTATAAATGTGCTTTGAGTATTCGAAAATCGGAAGGATGCCTTGAGATCATCAGTGTTTCCACAGTAACAAATGAGCTTTTAAAGTCGTCCGCGTTTTTCGTGGTCGTAGGTAAATTACGCACTAATGTCGAAATCACGCATCCCTGATTTTTAAACTGACAGATTTGATTTAAACATTTCCTGATACTTTTACGCTGTGTTCTGGATACGTTTCCCCAACCGCCCCCTTATATAGCAATTTACTTTTCTTTAAGAAATAAGTATCGTACCTACTCCTGAAGTTGTGTAATCCATCCATGCAACCCCTTATGATTAAAATTACTGTCCTTGCTTAATCGCACCATAACAAAAAATTATAGCACCCTTTCCTTGATCTGATGTGACCTTGAAATTAACTAATATACACTTTTAAAGCTATTTAATAGCTTCGGAATAAAAAAATGGGTTTAAGATTTTGTTAATTAAAAAAAATTAGTTTATCGCATTTATAATAGTATAGGGGAATATTAAGAAGGCAAGCTCCTTATGTTTTTCGATTTTCGAACCCGAACACGTGCATTTTTTTTTCTATAGTGTGTCTCGTTACCCTATTGGTTTTGAGCTCATTTCTCCCACACTTTTCGGAAAAACCCATAAATGGTTTAAAATTTAATTTCAGCAGTGCCTTCTTCTATTAAAAGCAAGTCGATGCCTTACGAGACATATCAAAAGTCGGGTGGATTGCGCGCATGTGCAGAACTATCTTTCTTATTGGTGGTGTGATCTTTTTGAAATTTTAATGCTACTTCTTTCTAATCAAAGCAAAAGGTTAAACACATGAGAGAGGGAGGTAGAATTTCAAATGTGATTATTCAAAAACGGAGTATCCGAATAGGGTGTTGTAATACCCTTCATCGTAACACTTAACATGAAGTTTTTCAGTTTTTCGGGGAGAGCTTTGACCACCACCACTTGCTTGCAAACAAGTACGAATATCTTTAATATTTACGTATATTAGGTAAAATTGCTAAATCAAGAAATTAGGTCTTCTAACAATCTTCCTCATTCAAAATAAAATATCTATTCTACTCAGCTAGAAACTTCATTAATTAAATTTACTTAACGATACAAAACTTGCTTTTTCTAACTGAGTTAATACAACAAAAATTGCCCAATATTAACGGCCGAATTCATAATATGGATTTATTAATATCTAATTCGCAAAGAAAGACAGCTTCTCGCAGAACGGTCGAAAATAAAAACTATTATTTTTACCCACGCAATTGACGCCCTGATGGTCCCAAACCGAATACCATTCTGCTACCTCTCCGTGTAACAGGTGGTCGCTTTAGGCTTCTTAAACTTACACATTTGCCTGTATAGAAAATTTTATACTTGTACCGCTTCAGAAGGGAAGGGAACAGAACTAACATGCGAGAAAATAAAGCGCGTTAAGATGAGAACGAGTATTCAAGCAGATAAGAGTGTTGCCGGTTCTAAAAACCGTCGTGGCGGAGAATGAGAGACGGTGTTTCTGTCTTCACATGTATAAAAAGAGCGTGAATGCTTGGGATTCGTTGGAATCGTTCCATCATTCGAGCTCGACAAGTACATAGGTAAACAATTTTCTATGCAGACCTACGTTACGTAGGTCTACTGAACGTAACGATTTTTAGATCACGTAACACGAAATTCTTCGCCAAGCTTTCAAGGCCAATCATGCGTGTACGTCAATCGCATGAAGATTTGTTTTCAATTAAACGTTATGGGGGAGGGGGCGCTTTTTAAATTTGTGACGAAGTAAACTAATCAAAAGTGGCTGATTTATGCTAACTAAATTACTTAGCGGAGTCTACCGGCCGGCTGATATAATTTTCAACCGTGAATGGTGCAGGTGTTACCTCTTCAAGCGTAACCGAACAAATTCGTTTTTTAGTATTATGGGATTAAGGTGTTCTCATTTCAATAAATTGTTGCCAGGAAAGCGTTGAGGTCCAAGGTGCAAAACATTAATTGCGCTATATTTGGAGTGGCTAGCTACAAGTTGGTCAATCAAAACTGAGCATCTGTCTTGTGTATACATTAAACGGCAACCGATAAAAAGTTAAATAACCATTAATTCGTGACTGGATAGAAAAGGTTCGTTTGTATTGTAGACGGGGTTCGACCATCAAATTTTCTAAATTGCTGCTACTTTTCAAAAAGAGAAAACATCGATAAATGTTATTTTCAATTTTTTGCATTGTTACTTACAACTGAGCTAGGTATGGGATAATTATTTTATTACATAAAATTAATTGTTATAGTAAAATTTTGACCAGTGTCGTAGAAATAACTTTTATTTTGTACAAGAGGGATTTCTCCCTCTAAATGTAACTTGAAACGTGTCCCTACGCCTCTTTTAATTTTTTCACCACGTCCCAAAATGACGTCAATTAGTTAAATCTTTAACCATTAGCCAATCTGCTTCATTTAACCCACCGAATTGCGCGGGCGTTAGAGCGATCAATCAAAACCCACGGCTATTTTTAATTCTCACGAAGCTGCGTAATATTATTCTGCGTCATCCTGATTTAGCTGTTTTGACCACGTAAAACTTATTAAAATCGTATTACCGCTCGTCAGACTGACGCTAGTAATTTTCCCAGGCCATTAGCCGGTTACTATTAATTCGGAAACCATTAACCTTCAAATGTGAATAACAAAGAGGGAGTGATATAATGGAATAGATGTCGACGAGGCTCATCCGTCGATGAGCTTGAAAACTTCATGTGCTAATATCTCGAAAACGGAGTGTGGGGAGAGGGCACTCGCAAAAGGAAAATGATGGAGTACTAGAAGGTAGCAATATTTTCATACTACCTTTACTATAAAAATCGTCTTGCTTCAGGTTTTTCCCAACAATACTCTAAAAATGAATTTATTACACACATGTGGACCGCTCTGTATGTACTATGTACCTACAATTTGCAGAAATTTCAATAATTCTGATAATCTTTTAGACGAAACCCAAATTGAATATTGGGCACATGCGGAAATGGTGCGATAATTTATTTTTAAGGTGTGATGAAGCGAAATCGAAGTGTAGTAATTTCCGCCATAAAAAGGGGTTTACAAAAGAGTCCCTCTCCCTGTCGCATACCTGTCATGAATTTTTTCTATGAGGTAGGTATTGCACCCGTAAGTAGGTGCACGTCAGGTAACTGTTTCATTGCGCCGTATTACATCATCACATCCCGAAATGCGAAATAGATTTTCCGCCCTTCAAAAGGAGAAGCCGTTAATTAATCAATCAATTAATTATTCTAGGGTGTTCCCACGTTCAATTTCTGTTATCGTCACATATAGTGCAAGTGTATTGATGGCGTAGAAACTTGAAATGGATTTTCTTTCAAAGTGTTAATAATTGTTAATTGCACCTTATATGTAGCGCTGTGATTTCGCAGCAGTTTATGAGTAAATAATAATAAATAAGATCAAACAGTCATTCAAATAGAAAACTTGGTGTTTTATAACAAATTATTTGTGCATACAGCGGTATCTTGTTGCATTTTGCTAAACTAAGGGTGCAATTGATCCAGCAAAGAGAATGTATCCTACGAATTTGTATGGGTGTTCAATTATAGCAATGGTATTACTAGAAAGGTGCATATGTAATCAGCCCATAGTTTCGGGTCAGTGGCCCGTGTACGTCACGTTTACAACGTTGCGAGTTATCTCTAGTCTCTCTGAGTGGAAGTAACCAGAGGCGATTAAATGAACTTTTTAGTTTCTCAATTTCGGAAAAAGATCTTATAATGCTGAGGAATGGTTTTTCACCCAACTAAACTCAAAAAAATATACCCACATGGTAATAAAAAACGCCCTTACAGAAGGTTAATCAAATTCGTACACTTATAACATCCTAAAAGGGGAGGATACATCTTGTGCACACTACAGCCAAAATGATCTTTCATATCTGAAGGGCGATATACTAACAAAGTCTAAGTATCAAAGTATAGCAACCGTTCTGCGAGCGAATTCCCCCAAAAAGCATGTAATATTGCACAAAAATTATTAAAATTTAAAATGAAAGTAAGAAGCTTCTCTGACCGAAAAGGAACATTATTCGCTTTTAAAACGTGATTTTCCTTTTAAATAAGAAAGATCTCTCGCAGAACTGGGCAGTATTCGATTTTGTAAATACTTTTTAGTATTCAAATCCTTTAAAGTATTCAAATACTTTGTAATTAAATACTTTTATGGAAGCAGTATTTGTGATTGTAACTCAAATACTTTCACAAATATTTAGTATTCGAATACTTCGCAAAGTATTTGGATACTTCGTAAACTATTCGAATACTTCGCAAGATATTTGAATACTTTGAGAAGTATTCAAATACTTCGAATACTTAACATTCCTTTTTTACCAAAAAATCGACTACACCAAAATTTCTCGGGAAAACACTTTTTCTCATTAATTTTGGTGCGTAGAATCCAAAACAATTAGTACTTTTTCGATTAGACTTCTCAATCAAAAGTTATGGACTATAAACCAATTTCGAAAGAAAATTCAAAGAGCTGTAACTTTTGATCTAGTAGCCCAATCTTGGAACTGTTGGAAATTATGGATTCTACAGGCCACATTCTATATAAGAAAATTTGTTTTCCCGGTCGATCTGAGACAATTTTTTTTTCGAGCCCCAAAAAAAGGCAGTGTATAACCTTCCTTTTTTACCAAAAATCGACTACACCAAAATTTCCCGGGAAAACACTTCTTCTTATTATTTTTGGTGCGTAGAATCCAAAACAATTCGTACTTTTTCGATGAGACTTCTCAATCAAAAGTTATGGACTAGAA